ACTGTAAAATATGGACTCAGCTATGGGAGCACGGCCAGTGATTTGTGGTGACATTACTGTAAAATATGGACTCAGCTATGGGAGCACGGCCAGTGATTTGTGGTGACATTACTGTAAAATATGGACTCAGCTATGGGAGCACGGCCAGTGATTTGTGATGACATTACTGTAAAATATGGACTCAGCTATGGGAGCACGGCCACTGATTTGTGGTGACATTACTGTAAAATATGGACCCAAGCAAGCAGGCTTCAGCAGTGCTTGTGTCTCGATAGTACTGTAAAATGTAAATATAAACAAACGAGTTCGCTTGTGGCTTGTGTTTATCGTACTGCAATATATATATAATATACAAACAGGCTTTGATTGTGATTTGTGTGGACAATGCTGTATAATATGAACAAAGGAACAATGATTGAGTCAATAGTACTGTAAAATATGCACTCAAACAAAGAGGTTTCGACAGCGATTATGACAACAGTACTGTAAAATATGCGCTCAAACAAAGGGAGAGCCTTCCCAGTACTGTAAAATATATTCAGTAAATATGAAAATAAAGTCATCATTTGCCTATTCTGTTTTAAAGTCATCAGAGTGTGTTGCCAATGTGAAGATTAAGTCTCTGTTTCCATAGTCTTGTGTTCCGGTCACTAAAACTCGATTGGGGCGTAAAACGCCTCTTGTTACAATTTACCGAAACATGCGATGCTTGAAACGTTTGGAGTTGGGCTTAAACTCTACACAGTGGTGCGCCTGGAGAGAGAAAAAGATGCGTCTGGATAGAGAGAAGGAAGAGTAGAGGGGTCGGCCCCTCTTTGCGTTAAGAGTCCATGGAAGACTTGATTGTGCAAATTTGTCACTGGTTGGAGGAGAAAGAGGATAAAGGTCTTTCTTGTGTCAGATTCCTCGAAAACGGTGTTTTGAAATGTGTGACGGTGTCACTGGACCGAGAGAAGGAAGCAGAGAAGAACTAGAGAGAAGGAAAAAGAAGTTCTGTGTTGGATATCCTTGTATTAGAATCCTCAAAAAACGTGCTGAAACGCATGGTGGTGTTATTGGATAGAGAGATGGGGAGGAAAAAAGAAAATTGAATATGATTGTTTTAGAATCCTTGAAAAGGTTGTGCTGAAACGCGTGACAGTGTAACTGGATAGAGAAACGGCAAAAATAAAGAAGAAGAAGAAGACGAAGAAGAAGACGAAGAATTTAAGAAAGAAGTAGGAGAGAGAGAGAGAAGGAAAAGAAGTAGAAAAGGGTCCTCGCTTGTCTCATAATTCATAAAAAGTTGTAATGGAACTTTGTAGAACAATGTTGAGGGTCTTTCTGGCCTACGAATTCTTGACTCGTGCTGGAACTCTGTTTGACGGTGTAACTGGATAGAGAAGTGAGAGGATCTCTCATTGTCTTGAAAGTTTCTGGTGGAAAAAAAAAAAGGTGCTGAAACTGTTTACTGGTGTAACTAATAGGATGAGGGTTGTTCCTCTTTGCCTCATACTTCGTGGCGTTGTTTTGACGGTGTTCGTGAAAAAGTCGTGTGCCGAAACTGGATAGAGAGAAGGAGAAAAAAGGGAAGAAAGAAAGGGTCTCTACTTGGCTTCAGAATTCATGGAGTTGTTTTGACGGTGTTCATGAAAAAGTTGTGTGCAAAAACTGGATAGAGAGAAGGAGAAGAAAGGGAAGAAAGAAAGGGTGTCTACTTGGCTTCAGAATTCATGGAGTTGTTTTGACGGTGTTCATGAAAAAGTTGTGTGCAAAAACTGGATAGAGAGAAGGAGAAGAAAGGGAAGAAAGAAAGGGTGTCTACTTGGCTTCAGAATTCATGGAGTTGTTTTGACGGTGTTCATGA